CTAACAGCTTCATACAAATTCGTTTATAAAAGTATATAAAAGTAGAATATCTACGATTTCAGTTTTTGAAATTTTTTAATCACATTTTACACACTATTTACCGTAGCTTAAAAGTAAAGTTCAAAATTAAGAAATTTTATGGCTCTGCAATAGTCAAACTGAAAAATTTATATGAAATTACGTGCGAGGCATTTACATTTACTTATTTTCCCTAAAAGTAATTTTTTACTTTTTCTTCTTCGTGTTGTTACCTTACTTGAAATTTATTTCTTTTGTATCTGGAATGCGAGCCAATTTTTGAAGTACATATATTTATTTATATACGAACAATTTCCAGTTACTTGGTATGTAGCCAATAAGACACAAGGTCGTTGATGTTTTTTTTAAAAAAAAAACGAGAAAAAAGTTACGCACAATTGAGACCCGGCTTGGCTTAGTCCATACTTTGCAAGTTTATTGAAACCGTAACAAGATTTTTATAGACTGCAATTAATTGTTTTTTTCAGGTGTAGTTTTTGGTTGCAGTACATTTTTATGAGTTTTAATTGTTTTGTAGTTTAAAAAATGTTAATATTGTGTAAATACTTTACACTTTATTTGATATAATTAAACTTAAATTGATGTTTACTCCCATGCCCAAAAACAAGTAGAGGTAATAAAAATAATATATGATTTGTTGCCAATTGGTCCAAATGTTATATCTTTGCATCCAAAATGTCCAAAAGGTTCAATAATAACCAGAGCTTAACTAGTTTGAAGGTTATCTACAAATTTCCATTCGTAATTAAAATAAAATTGACGCTAATTTTAATTTTCTAATAAATTTAATTTAAGTTTCTGGACACAAATTCGTTTTGGAGCCACAGAGCTATGTTTAGATCAATCACTAGTAGTACTGGACCTTTCTATTAACAGTGCTAGAGAACTTAACTTAGTTGCCAATTACAGACGTGAGTCGCCCTTGCCCGCGTTGAGTAGCCGATCAGTTGCTTGCTGTCGCCAATTGCTAGTACCGAACGCCTCCAAATCGTTTGTTATTTGTTCTTTCCACTAAAGTTGCGGACACCTTCTACCACGTTTTCCTTTCCAGCCGAAGGTCTTTCTGAACAAGCTATTGAACCCGCTGAATTTTTACGCACTTAACTATGTCAATGTCGCAATTTAGCTCATAAAGTTCATCGTTCCATCTAATTCGATACTCGTCGCCAAAGCGTAAGGGACCATAAATCATCCGAAGAATTTCTCTCTCGAATGTTCCTAACTCTTTCTCATTACTGTTGGTAATTGTCCAAGCTTTTACATCACACAGCAGGACAGGTTGACGTCTTTTTTGATGTTTATGTTGGTTTCAAAATAAACAAAGTCTTTCACAACTTCGAACTTATAATTATCAACAGTAACGTAGGTCCCAAGGTGCTCAGGAGATTTGTTTGTTGACAGAAAGTACTTTGTTTTGTTCTTATTTATCATAAGGCCCATTCACATGTATTTCTAAATCGAAAAATGCCGTACTAACGGCGCGGGTGTTCAGGCCAATGATATTAATATCAACGGCAGCATTACACTATTGCAGAATATTATGGACCTTTTTAAATTCAATACAGTACTTTTGTGATGTTTTTTTTGTATGTGTTTGTAGTTTTTTGACGTTATTAATGTAGATCGGCTCTTATGGCAAATTTTAAACAAATCACAGCCCACTTTTTGAAGAAGCAGAGTTACCTAAGATGTGGTTACTTTAAATGATATGTGAACAAGAGAAGAGTTGGTTTACTAAAATAATATTTAGGATGAGTTCTTTAAATTTTAAAATTGTTTCGAAGCCTTAAATCCACTTTTGATGAATAGGTGGCGTTTAACGAAGTAATTGAACAACTCAGTATTGTATTATTTTACATATGTTTTTCTAATATATGCTAAATAAAATAATATTAAATAAAAATATTAATAAATTAATTAATTAATATAATCAATCAATATTTTGATTTACATGTAATTTAATTAACATTAATCACATTCTTACTTTTAAAATTGTAGTGACATTGTACTACTTTCAAATAATTTAAAAAGATCTTTTTTTAGTAATACATATATGTGTGACCGATAATTTATGTTTTATTTTAAAAAAATGTCGATAAAATAAATAATCAATATATTTATTTATATGGTTAATTTCATTGATTACTGTTAAAAAATTATAAAATTATTTTTATAATTTTAACAAATTTTGAAACAAAAATTAAATTTTGTCAATTAATTTTTTATGGAATCATATAATTTTATTATATCGTAATGTCGTTGTAGATTGTTGTTTTAAAGATAAAAAGAAATACAAACGATCCTATTGGAATGCGATATAATTAAATTATCTCTTTTACCTTTTTAAATTGATATGGCTTAGGCAATTATAATAATACCTTGCAATAGCTTATAGTAATATATTACGCTTACATCTGCACTGCAAAAAATGCGATTAGAAGGGTTCCAACAGTAATGAAAAAACAACAACAAAGATTTTAATTAATTTATTGAAATAACACTGACCATGCAAGGCTGTTTCGAGTATTGTTAAGTACTTATCACCAGTGATCTTAGAAAATATTCGAATTTTTATTTAATTAGTTTGTACTTCGTATATAACTGCAGTCCAACAACAAAATAACAATGCGTATTATTAGTTACAACTTCAGATAATTTAAATATCAGAATAACTTTAGTTCAGTTTAGGTTAACTAATTATTGTGACCCTATACATTCACTAAGATCTGATCTGGTGTTTCTTTTAAACACGTAATTAGAAATGGTTAACCATTACTTTTGAATATTAATTATTCAGACCAATTGTTGAAACGAGTTAAACGAAAACTAATCATGCTAGAAAATCAATGATTAGTTTAAGTTCAGGTCACTTAAACAGATTTTTGAAAGCTTTAGGTATTAGTTCAAACCTGGGTAAACAACAATCGCTGTCTCTAAATACAGTTGTAGCTTAGTTCAATTAAGAAAAAAAACTTTTGAAGATTTGGATCTACTTTGATTTAGTGGACCCTATTAAAATATACGATAATGGTGGCATTTTTTTATAGCATTTTCTTAGACATTATTTTGCAAATTTGGATTTTTGCTTGTAAAATCATGGATATTTTTCGATTACAATAAGTAGAATTGTAATTAATCCATTGTTAAATCTTAATCTATTGAGAAACTAAAAACACATATATCGTTCTGTACCATTCCGTTTGTCTTCCTGTGGAAAAAATTCCTAATAAAATGTCTATATTGGATTTCGGTTTAGGGACACCTATTTATACACATTCAAATTTTAATCTATTAGGAAATTAAAATTTCGCTCTATAAGCTCCCTTTCCTATCATTCACTTTATTTGAAAATTACCGTTCTTTAGTTACTGAAACAAAAGATTATCTGACAAATAAAAAGCAGAGTTCAGGGCAAAAAACATTTTAAGGTAGAGTTTAGGAAAATGAGTGATGGTAGAAGATAGAAATGAATTTATTTAATAAAAAAAGTTTACAACTATACTATCTTTTTTTTCGCTTTATTACTAATAGTTATTAGTAATAACTAATAAATTATTCACATTTTTGACAGATTTATGATTAAAGTTTAAACAAAATCAAGGTTTGACAAATGATTTGTAATCAATATTAAAATATTTTATATTAAAAAGTAATAACTCATTGAAAGGAAAATTTGAGGAAAAATTAAAATGAAAGGAAGGGTTTCAGAGAAAAAGACGATTTAAGGCAGAGTTTAGGATAACGAAAGATGGTCGAAGATAAAAACGAATTTATTTAATAGAAAAAGTTTATAACTATACTATTTTTTTTTCTTTCACATTATTTCATTGTATTGTAATAACTAATAAATTATTCACATTTTTGACAGATTTATAATTAAAGTCTTAAGAAAATCAAGGTTTGATAAATGATTTGCAATCAATATTAAAATAAATTATGTCAAAAAGTAATAACTCAATGCGCTGCGCCTTGTTACTTGCTCTTTTTATAATTGAACAAAATGAGTGAATTACCCAAATTTGTATCTAGCGCCTGTCATTATTTCCAGTCGACATTTTAATCAATCTAACCAACTTAAGTGCTCCAAATATGAATTATTTTTTATTCTGATCTTGTACGTATCCGCTTTAATAATTCCATGTTCGTATTACATCAGCCAATATTTGTTGTAGTCATACGAACATTGTTTATAGTAAGATTCAAATTTTTGGAGAATGTTTGCTGAGCATATTCACTAGTTAAAATGGTAACATTAATTACGAGTAGCAGCAACTGCAGCAGCTGTAGTAAGAAATTGAATTGAACGAGTCTCGCTATGAAAAGATACTGAAATCGAAGTGATTTTTCGCACTTTGAGATACGTCAAGAGAGATCAAAAGAATTAAGTCGAGCTATTTGGAGGCGATAAAAATAAAATATGAAAAAAATAATAACTCCAAATGCGTGCAAATCGGATGCAATTGTTGCAATCGGCGTATATTGAGCTAAATGTACAGATTTGGGCATGTAAGTGCAGCAGTTTGGTTTAGCAGTCAACCAATACGTGCAAATCATTGAGTAAATTGAAGCAATGACGAAATCAAACCAAACCATCGAATGCAACAGCAATAGACTGTCAGATACAGATGACTAAAAATCTTATCTCATGGTAACCGATTGAATTACAACCAGAATCAAAGGCAACTACAGCAACAAACGAACAGTAGCGATTGTATAATGCCAATCACTAAAATTGCAAGACAACATTGGTGCGTACCTATAAAATTTGAAATTTGTTGTTGGTTTTGTCAACTCTTTTTTTTGTGGATTTTGTGTTACTAGTACATATTTTAAAATGCCGGCAGTATTAACGTATGTGCAGTAGAAATTCTTTGTACCGCTTATATAAGTGCAGACTTCTTTGAGAATTTATCTCAAACCAAAGTTGTATTCTTGTAAGTGCACACATCATATAGCAAAAAATGTTCGCAAAGGTAAATTTTTAACTTCGATAGTTTAAAAAATAAATCCTTCATACTTGAAATGGCAAATTGAGGATTAAGTGTTATATTAATTTTTGTTTTTCCTTTGCTATCGCCAAATCTTTAGATATTATTTGTGCTCGGTGTTGCACTGTCAACAGCTGTGGCTTTACCAATTGATGGTTATGGTTCATCATTGTCATATGCTGCACCTGCTATTACGTACGCTGCACCAAAAGTGCTTACAACATCACTCGTTCAGCACGCTGCTCCAGCTATAGTCGCACACGCTGCTCCTGCTGTAACTTACGCCGCTGCTGCTCCAGCTTATGTGGCACATGCTGCACCAGCTGTTGCTGTTGCCAAAGTAGCCGTACCTGAACCATATGATCCAAATCCACAATACAGTTTTTCATATGGAGTCTCCGATCATTCAACTGGTGATTCTAAACAGCAAGAAGAAACACTTGTCAATGGTGTTGTACATGGCAGTTATTCCTTGACAGAACCTGATGGTTCCATTCGTAAGGTCACCTATACCGCAGACAAAATTAACGGTTTCAATGCTGTTGTAGAAAAGAAGGGCGTTGCTGTCGTCGCGAAACCAGCGTTAGCCGTTGCTGCTGTGTCTGCCCCAGCTATAGCAAAGGTCGCTTATGCAGCTCCAGCAATTGCTAAGGTCGCTTATGCAGCTCCAGCAATTGCTAAGGTCGCTTATGCAGCTCCTGCACTCTCCTATGGTCACTATCATTAAACAAAGTTGATAGTTGGGCAAAATATGGCATTTGACCGTTGTTAAACTGTTTTTGTTAAGTTTTCTTTCTAGTAATGTAGCGCAAGTGGGTGCATCGCTTAGCTGCGGTGTACACATTTTGATGTAGTAATTTTAGTAGAACAAGTGTGTTCGTTATTATATTTTTTGCACAATCGCCAGCTTAACGCTTCATATTAATTTGTATTATTAATTTAATATATATATTCGTCATTAAACTTTTATGGCTTTCACCGTCGACGTACGTTCACGCCGTGCTAACGCATGCGTGCGTGCTGTGTCGCTGGAACTTTGTATGCGGCTCCATTTTACAATTAAACTAAACAACTTAATTATGAATTACGAATTATTTTACTCTTATAAATCGTTTTAAGCTAAACGTGTACAACTGTGCACCAGTCAATCTAGTGAATTTTATAAAAAAAAGTTACGAAAAATGTGCATTTACTGAATAAAGACTTCAGTACAAAAATATTAAAAAATCTCAAGTTTTTTATTTTTTGATTGCCGTTGGGAATAATGAGAGAATGTTGTCTTTTGATCGTTATCGATTAATTTATCGATATGTTTCAAAAGCAAATATAATTTTTTAGATTTTATTTAACAATCTAACACTATGGGCAGGTAAGCTTAGGCGTGGTTGAACCAAGTTTCTTGGCTGAGTAGTGTTAATCAGTTCTTGCCTTATAGGTACATGTTGCGCTCATTTCTATAACCTTCTCATGTTGTTTTGACAGTTTTGGCAGCCTTTTAATAACTCATCGCCTCCGTATTTGGCTTTGCAGTTTTTTTATATATAAACATCTATTATTGGAACTGCATTTGACAAGAATTGGAAAGAGAATTTAAACAATTAAAACTTGTGAAATATTTAAAACTTTTTCTACGCATTATGATTATGATTATGTTAGTTTTATCTTAACAGAAATTTTAATCATATGACATGATTCACAGATAAGAATAATCACATCCAAAACGCCATTTACTAAAGTAATTAATTAATATATTGAAAACGTCTGGAAACAGTACGCAAATGTTTCATTTGATAATTACTTCACGCAAGAAGTAGGAATAAATATATACTCAATATATACTCGGAGACTATTTTCAAAGAAGCACTACACGATGCGACAGATGGAATTATGGTTAACGGGGAACTTATAAACAATTTGAGGTACGCCGACGATACAGTGCTTATTGCCGACTCAATAGACGGCTTACAGAACCTTTTAGACGCTGTTGCATTAAAGTGCAGAGAATACAGCTTAAAATTAAATTGCAGTAAAAGCCAATATAAGGTGGTAAGCAAACGATCCAATTCTGAAAGAAGATTAACAGTATTTGGTTCATAATAGTAATAATAATAATTCTTTACTATTAATAGGATAATAGTAAAGAAATACGTGTCCAAATTGAAAAAGCAAAGTCTTCTTTTATCAAGATGAAAAACTTGCTGTGCACACGAAAGCTGTCATTACCGCTCAGAATAACAATGCTGCGATGCTATATATTCTCTATACTTCTCTACGGGACAGAGGCGTGGGCGCTGTCTGTTGCATCGATGAATAAACTCGAGGCTTTTGAAATGTGGTACTGAAAATAAGCTGGACAGAAAAAATTACAAATACAGTGGTACTTCGGCGTGTCAACAAAGAGACAAATAATTAGAAACAGTAAAACCCCCTAAGTTAGAGTTTTTGGTCATATTTTGAGGCATCCGGAAAAGTACGGACTACTAAAATTAATCATTGAAGGCAGAATTGAAGGCAGACGTGGCCCTGGAAGACGAAAAATATCATGGCTGAAGAATTTACGTCAAAAATCAGTTCAAGATTTCCATAATATCATTGTGTAATCATTGGTGATGTATATGATTTTAACGTCAAGTTCTCTCATTGTAAATCGTTTTTATAGAAATTTCCTGTAGTGGCAATACCGAAAAAAGCATGTTATATCTGATTAATTTTGAATATTATTTTAATCATTTACTTTGAATAAAATGTTATAGTTCACTATAAATGGTCGTACGTCAATAAGCTACATATAAGTTTTATTTAACTTCGATGAAGTAGAAATAGTTACCTATGACATTTTTATATTTCCCAAACTTAAAGAGACTGTCAGAGGACAACGTATTTTAACAAAGGATGAAATAAAGACGAAATTTCAAAGAGAGCTTGAGATCACACCTAAATAGGTGCTCAACAGTAAATAGTTAAAATCATATTATTATATTAATCATATAATCATATAAATATTAAAAATAGTACTCTAAGCCCTAACAAAATGTGGAAAGGAAGAACGAAGACATAAATGAGGTTTTTCTAAATAATGAATACATAATTACTTCGAGGTCAGGTAAAATATATGATCCTACAGATCATATAGTTTGATACATGGAAACTTTTCTTTCCATAAAATAGTTGATGGCTCATGGTAATAATTTACTGTTGGTGGAAGGTTAACATATTAGTATTTACGTTTTATATTAATTTGATGTTTTCATTATACATATATATTTAAACATCAAGTTTGCTTTGAAGATAAAAATTTTATTTTTAAGAAAATTCTAACAATAAAAATAAGTACACAAACAAGATAGTGTGTAATTAGTATCTCACTAATGATAATATGTTTTACTTTTTTATAAATTAAAATTTTAAAATTAAAAATAACAAAAAATTAATTCATCTACGGTAGTCTGAAAATACAACTGACGTGGTTAATACAACTTTAACTGAAGAATGGTGTTTGAGAATAATTAAATGGTTAGGATGTACAAATTTTTTTATCAGAAAAAAAGGCATCGTAATTATTTTATTATCATCCAATGTGCCCGGATATATTATACTAAGTCTCCTATATGAAAAATTATTTTTTCACCTTTTCGTAAAGTTAAGATTTGACATAAAAAACTCAACAGCTTTTAAGGCAGTTTATTAAAAGATGTTTCATCCATGCATGCAAAAGTAGTTTCTTCGTTTTTTTTCCAAGCAAGCGTCAAATAATATTTATTAATTCAAAATTTTTACTGTAACAATAATCCATTTTATCTAGGTCGAATATGCCCTACTGTAGTGCACAGGCAAGAAAGAATTATCTACCATGTAAACTACTGTCTATATTTAGATAAATTCCTGTTTAGAATTTTTGCCAGTCATTGTTTTTGTTTGTGTGCTTCTTCTTAGTGCCGGCTTTCGTCATTTCGCTGTCGGCATTTCGATGAGAGCGTTCGTCAATTGCTATGGGCTATTGATTCACTTCGCGGCCGCTAGTTCTACTTCGTTATTTTTTTGTTTATTACTAAATACTAGAGTTGCTTACTAGTCACAGACGTTTCGTCTTAGACGTTGTCATGTGAACACATCATTATTTTGGACTTTGGATTTTGCTTTTAAATAATAAATAAACAGAGAAGTTTTTATTCTTTTTGTTTAAAGAATAAATACCAGTATCAAATATTTAACCAAAAGAGAGCCATTTATTAAAATGTTTACTTAACATATATTAATATCATTAACATACCAGTACTAAGTAATATATTTATATGAATTCATTTTAATTCTTTAAGTTATATTGTAATTTAAATTTTTATTTCCACAAGATTGTAATACATATAACAACACAATATCTTCTAGTCTCCGGATAAATGCATTCCACTTAATTAAGTTTCCACTCTTAAATGCGCTTTCGAATTAGTCATAGACAAAAAACAAAAAAACAACTAAAACTCCTGGATACAAATAAATTCGTCATTGCACTTTTCGAATAAAAGTGCCTAGATAAATGGTTCCGTGAATTACTTTATAAACTCTACTGAAATAGTCTTTAATATTTGCCATACTTTTTGATAGAAAGTGAAATGGGCAAAAGTTCTCATTTGGCTTAGTATGAATAGATTTTCTTATTAAAGGTATAGTATAAAAATAAGGATGATATGGCAACATGAACTTGGTATTCCTGACAAAGAAGAATTACTTTGAAAAAATAGTCACATACTTCTGCTCAATCTAAGTTCTTGGAATGCATTAATTTGACACGTCAATAGTTCGATCAGTTTGTTTTCTTATAGTTTTTAACTAAGAACACTTGAGAAAAGTTTTGTTTACTATTAGTTCTTAGTATATTAGTATATGTGGTCGAAAATGACTGTTCAACCGATGCCAATCGATGAATAAATAAAAAAGTGCAATATCAAGGACTTGACTACTGCTTTATATAACAAAAGTTAATTCGACAAATTTATTGTAAGTTGCCATGTAAGTTATTTGAGGTATATCAATGTTAAAATTATCTAAAAGAAATAAGACGGATTTACAACAATTAATTTGTATTATCAAGTTCGATACTCGGAGATATTACTGTTGCATATATAGAGGTCTCTGTGATAATTATCTCCTTTTAGCTTATAAGCATTATACTAGTTACTTTTTTTCAATCTGTAAGGAAAAATATTCTAAGTTCTAATATCATTACAACCGAACATTATGCATATATTACGATTCTAAGTAGTGGTATAAAGTAGACGGAACTTCTGTTCATAACTTTCATGTTTCTGTAAGAGGTTATAGTATTTTTAAAACGAATATGATATATATTATACATACTTTATATATTCGATAATATTCAAATATTAATATGTTCAATACTTCACCGAATCGTTGATATGTTTTTAATTTAAATTTTTATTCTCCCCAGGAGTGTTCACAACAGATCATTATTCTCGCAAGCGAATTTTAACAAATCATTAGACAGATTGTATTTATCTGTTACAGTAGTTGCCAGTAAACTAACTGACCATTAATTGTTAATTTATTCTCAATTTAAATCTTTTCAATACTTTACTGAACAGATAGCATGTCTTTGCATTCGATTTTAAATAAGGCTAAAGCCTGATGGTTCCCAACCGGAGGTCTGCGGATCATAATCCATATACTATAATGTACTTATGCATTTTTACAATTCATTATACATTATACCAGAGAGGCACAAGGCATATTTAAATAATGATACAGTTTATTATTCTTTAACTTTGTGGGCCCTACTAAAACAAAAATATCCTGGTAGTCCTTGGTCATA